TTGTTATTATTACCGTTATTGTTGTAGTCGGTCGTTATTGTTGCTATTATTGTTACAGTTGTTATTGTTGCTGTTATTATGATAGTTTTTATTGTTATTGTTACTGTTACGGTTGTTATGTTATCGCTATTGTTCTCGCTATTATTACTGACTGTCATTTTTGCAGTTGCTTACATTTAGAATTATCTATTTTAAATTTTGAGCTAATGCATATTATTTATTGTTAATGCCATTTCCTGTTATTAATAATATTCAAATATTTAAGATTTCTCTTCTTTTATTTCCTCATCATTTTAATTAATTCTTCCAATCATCCTTCCTCTTATTAAACGATCATTTAACAGCTGCCTCTTATAGTTATGAGGTAAATTCTTAAATTTCCACTTTAACTTTTCCGAAATTGTTGTTGCTATGATTACTATTTGATAGCATTTGTCGTTTTATAATCTAAATTTAGCTTAGCGCTATTCCTCTCCATTCAATATTTCATAGCATTTAGCATTAATTAAAAGAATTTGTTTACTCGATTTGTTCATTTTGTTTTTAAATTCAACTTTGTTTATCATTTGACTAATTTTTTTTTTTTTTAATATTTGCTTTTGATTTTTTTTCGTGCAACTCGTAGCATAACATTTTTTTTGACAACTGAAATGATAATTTAGATTTATTGGATGCAAACAAATGTTAGCAATTAAACTATTTGTGCGCAAATACATATAATTAATTGTAGTTCACTTTTTAAATGTATGATTTCAAAATTAATTAGTAATATATGTATAATACTGAAGGCATATGAAATCACAGAAGAAAAAATAATTACCAGTTAGCTAGTCAAATTTATCATTTTTTTGGCTATTAGCAGCTGCAAAACATTTTAATTTTTGATGCTATCGCCTTATTTTCTTTTTTTTTTTGTTTCATTAAATCAAACACTTTATTCTCGAATTTGAAAAGGCATCGAGTGATGCGTGAATGAATTTGAAAAATTGAAAATATGTGTTTAAATTGAATTAAAGAATATTTGGTAAATTATAATGCGTAAGATTAAAAAAAAAAATTCATAGCATGCTGAAATGATCATTTTCGACTTTTTTGTACAACATTAAATGTTACTTTTGTTATATATTTTTAGCAAAAATTTTTGATTATCCATTTTCTCAAGTGCTATAATAAAAGTGCCTCAACAATGAGTTACTGTTGAACTCTGACCTATTTAAATGTATCATTTCCACATCCGCTAAGTATACTTCTCGAAATTAGGTGAAAAAGAAGAAAGAAAAAAAGATAAGTAGTTTAAGAAAAAAGTTTGAATTTCTAAAATATTGCTATGTTCGTTAGTAGCATCAATTTTCAATTACTTGTAAACATCTTAAAAAGAATTTCATGAATTTGCTATTTTTAAACAAGAAATAAGACGGAAATTCTCAAGCATGTATTTGAGATAGAGAAGAAAAGAATGGCATGGAAGAATTACTTGTGAAAAAAGGCAATGTTTATTGCTTTTAAATTTAATTCCTCACTAGAAAAGCCAATTGGATGCCACCTACTTTTCCGTATTTTCTAAAAATATGTGACAAGCAAAGGAATTAAAGTATTGAGCCAAAAGAAAGGGAGAAATTTGAGCAAATTATTGATTCATTAATTTGTGTTCACAGTATGCATTCCATACTGACTACATTACTTGTAATTAAAAGTTACCATTATTTGCACAGTTAAATTAGTAAATTTTTTCTGCACAAAAACCTTTGCTATTATTAACTGACGAAGTGAATTTTCAGCTTGATTACTTATAACAAACAAAAATTCAATTCTCCAATTTATTCTTATAATTATAACTGTAAATTTACTGGTATTATGATTCAGCTTATTATAATTTTAATTTCAATTTCAATATTAAAATATTTGGTTTTGTGTTCTATATATATATATATATGTATATGCTAACTTTCTTGTTCTAAATGTAATAAATTACAGCTTTTAGAAAGTATTAGTAAATAAACCATCCAATGTTTAACATCTGGCTGTTTGACGTAATAACGAGTTTATCATTTAATGATAAATGCTAGTAGGTGGCAAATGCTAACACTTCTGCTATTTTTTTTATATTCCGATATTTGTAAAAACCAATATGATATGAAATTAATTAAAAATTTACTGTGTAAAATTTTAATTTTAATATAAACATCAAAATGTTCCATTTCACGTTATTGGAATGAGAAAAAACAAAACGAGTAACACTTTATAATTTGTATTCATATTTCAGTAAATCAATTATGAGCATGAATCACCCGTTACGTTCACAGTCATTCAGACATCGATCACACGCATCAGTTCACGTGAAACGTCAGCTATTTGATGATGCAGTGCAACAAATTCGAGAAAGAAGACGTTCAACACCTAATATTTCCCGATATTCCACTCTGCATTCAAGGTTCAGTTATTCTATTTGTATATATTGGCATATCAATAGAGAGAAGATAATCACGTATACACGTAAAATTTACAAGTTATTAGTTAAGCATAGTAGGAATGACAAGTATTGTGTTATTTATTCACTAAAGACTTATTAACTTCTTTTAGCTTGTTGATCTTTTGTCCTGTCACTAATAATTGGGCTAGAATTACAATGACTGTGAAATTTATTTAAAAAGCTCATTATTATTTGTTACTTCATAAGTATAAATTTTGTGATAATATAAACAATTTTGAAATTTCCACAGTTTAGAATTGCATTTAAATCCGAAATACATTTCAAATTGCACCGTATTGACCTGAAAAATGTTTTCTTCTAAAATGTCACGCAAATAGTTCAAGTTTGCCCTTAAAAGAGAAAACAAATCAGTTTGTTGAATTAATGATTTTCACTATTAACTGAATAAGGGTTCGTCTTTTTTTTGTTTTTAACTTCCAAAAATGAAATTTAAAAGATAACATTTTTAAAAATCGATTAAAGAAATGAAATTTTCGAAAATCAATAGAAAAAGTGAAGTTTGCTATGCAATGATTAATGTTCCTTTTGATTTAACCCGTCTGTTTTGTTATCTTTTGATCTAATCTTACATTCTCTCCTCATTTCATTCCTATACTTTGGAGCTTTCCACTTCTGTTAGTCTGATAATCAAATGATATGGAAAGTTTACATATCATTTTATTGCTTCTGATAGAGGAAGTCAAAATAGGAGCTGTACACTTTTATTAGCTTCTTACACATTTTAATTATTAATACTTTACTCCTTCTTCTGTTACGATGGTTTAATTTTAATTATCAAATAAAATCTGGAAGCTAAAAATTTCTCCTTGTTAATTAGCCTAAAATAATAAATTTACCAAGTCTGCCAGATGTTTCCAAAATTTCCTGCAAATTTTGCTCTTTTTTTATAAATGAAATTAATCTTCGGTTGTACAAATGATTGATGATATATTGTTTTGCAGTTCAAACATTCATCTAAACTGAAAAATAAATTTAAACAAGCGTAGTTTGTTAAAAGTTTATAAAATCGTTCTTTGCAAATGTCGCATTTTCGAGATACAAAAAAAAAAAAAAAATGAAAAGAAATAGGGAAGAAAAAAAAAATTTTAACTATAACAACTTTTAAATTGATAAGATGTTTCATTTTTAATTGCTCTATTTCCACTTTTTTGTTTAAGATTATTTCCAGCAAAATTTTTCATACTTACAAATGATTTTTGAGCATTATAATGATACCTTTTTGATAAATCAAATAAAACAATTATGCTCTTCAAAATTTATTTCAGCAAACATTAAGCCAAAATGCTTCATTAATATCCATAAATATTATAGCATACATTAGAAAAGCTACGATGTGTATATTCGATAGATTTGAATTTGATAGATTATAAAATATTTAAAATTCAAAAAAAAAAAATCAAAAATTTGTTGATAATTTCTTGTGATTGTTATGACCGGTACAGTAACTGGTTATTCAAACAAATCCTGCTGATTTGTTAGTGAAGTAATTTCTTTCATACAATTTCAAATTTTATGACATTTTTTTTTTTTTAATTTGCTTCATATTAGCATTTTTTAAAATCCATATAAAATTAAATTACTCAGCCTAATGATGATTCAAGTGCTTAGCAGCACAAATAATTTCTAACAATGGGAAAAGATTTAATATTTGTTTCGAAGAGTGAATTATTTTTTCCTGATATATTGCATCTGCTTTTTTATTCATTTTTGTTTTTTTATTTTTATAGACACCGACCATTCGATATAGCACGAACGGATGTTTGGCCAAAACCGAAAGCAAGTGTGGTGGAAGATCGTTTTCTTACTTTGGTAGATTCCGATGATTATACCCGAGTGAGGGAATTTAACATTGATGAAAAGGGCACTGTTGTTAGCCGAGGTGATTCATTTCGTCTCAAAAGTCCTACCTGTTATAAACGAGGTAAAATTAAATATTTTAAGCATGAAAATTTATATTACTATGTCGTTGTAGCAAAAAGTAAATTTATGTAAATTTTCAAATTTTAAAATATTGTAATTTTAAAACTCTAAAAATATTAATGATCGCATAATATAATAAAAAAAATATTATATTATGCAATCATTTAAATAAATAGATGTAATAATGTAGTTAATTGAAATATTTGTTTTCTTTTCCAAATTATGAATTTTTGCAAAATTTACTGAGAATTTTATATTGATTTTCTTGAAAAGAATCTGTTAATTAACAGAGGTTATCAAGTTTAATTAAATGAAATTAATAAGAAAAATTTTTAGAATCACGAAAGATAGATCCAACCGAATCAAATAGTCCGCATTCATCATCAGATGATAGCATTATATCTGCTAATAATAATGAAAAGGATGAAAATAATCAGCCATCAACCAGTGCTGCTTTTTATGAAGTATGTTTAAAGTATTCAGATTCTGACGCTAATATTTCTACAATTGAACTTTTTTAAACTTTTTTTATTTACTACTTTATAAAAAGTATTTTTAAATTAGTTGGCTTCACACGAAATTGATATTTTCGCAGTTGAGAATTGATTGTGATTAATTATAGAGTTTCACTTTTTTTTCTCTCATGATATTTATGTTCATATGGAATGCTATAATTGACAAATTTAGCATATTAAATAATCAAATATTCGATAATATATTTGAAAGTTGCAGATATATGTGCTTGGTTCGACAGGTGTAGGAAAAAGTACGCTAATTGGACAGTTTATGACTTCGGATCATCGAAATACCTATGCTACTGATATAGGCATCATTTTACATTATTTTTTAATCTTTCATAATTTTGCAAATTTATTTGGTGAAATTCCAATATATTATGTTATAGCATCAGCAATTTTTTTTTTTTGCTTCAAATTTCACATTTTATCATTTCTTGATTATTTAGATAAAAACTGAAAGTCTTAACCATGATTTTTGTTTTATAAAGTAAAAAAAAAATAAATATTTTGAAGAACAAGTGGATAATACAGTATCAATTATAATTGGTGATAAAGAAAGCGAATTAACATTCTATGAAATTGATCTGCACAATGTAAGTGTTCAATTTGTAGCTAAATTTTTGTCTATTTCATTTCAATTGTGCGTAAGTGATAGTTTTAATTAGATAAAATGAAATTTGCAGCGAATAAATTAAATAAAATTTGAAGCGCACTATTTCTAAATTGAACAAGCAACAATTTAAATTAAAATTGAAGGAGCAGATTAAGATTAATATACAAATTCAATTTAGACGATTTAACATTAACCGTTATGATTCGAAGCAATAATGTAAAATGCTGGATAGAAATAATCGTAATATCATTGCATTTATTCACTTATATATTACTTGTTAGTTTGTTCATTATTGTTTAGAATAATTCTTGGCTAGATGGTAAAGCAGATGTTTACTTGCTAATATACAGTATTGATTCAAAAAGTTCCTTCAAAGAAGTTATGAATGTTGTTGATTGTATACGTGAATCAACAACATTCGCACGTCATACGCCTGTTGTCATGGCTGCTAATAAAGTTGACTTAGAACGGAAACGTGCTGTTAGTAAGACAGGTAAGTCATTTTTAATTAATTAATTTGCTACATCCATTTTTTTGTGGCATTTTGAGCATTGATAAAAAAAAAAATGCTAAGGAATTAGAATATTTTTTTTTCCTTTTTAATCCTCCTATTTTGTTCGTTTAATTTTCTCAAAATGAATTTTAGATGCAAAAAACGCAGCAATGATTTATGGCTTTACGCATTATGAAATATCAGTTGCGTTAAATTTAGACGTTGACGATTTATTGGTAGGACTTATTGCTGAAATCAAACATTCATTGAAATCAGATCTGCTCGATCATCACGCTGACGTTAAAGTTTGTTTGAAACCAATTTTGTTTTGCATTAAAAAGTGTATTTATTGTTAAATCAACAGAAAAAAATCGAAAAATAAACTGTATACTATACGAAATCTTTTTTTTTTTTCCATTCAGAAAAATTTTGCTAAAGTTTTTGTAATAATTACAATCTGTTAAATATTTCTTAGTGCATTTTAAACATTTTGTTAATCTATCTTAATATTTCAGTTGCTATGCAATGATTGGAACAAAGGTTCAATTTTTTCATTTTTTCTTTCTTCTACAAAATTACCAAAGAGAGTTTTCCTTTTTAGTCTTCTAAAGAGGGCACCGATACGGAAGAGGTGGAAGAATCAAGCGATTTCAAAGCTGCTATTCGAAGATTTTCAAAGAGAAGACGACAACAAATGGGTGACACCAATGGGGTATGTCCGTTTTTTTATATTAAATTTAAAGTTCAATTTACGAGATCATCTATCAACAAGATATTTCCTCCAATATTGCTTATCTTATTTTGATAAGCAATATTAGAGGAAATATTGCTTAACTTATTTGTTATTGATGATGGTTCAAAACGTTTGATTTGAAAATTTTATAGCCTAATTGGAACTTTCATGAAATACCATATTTAATTATGCTTCAAATAATGATACTGATTAAAATTATTCCTACGGCGAAAAAAAACTCAATTGGATATTTTTTAATAAATATTTTCTAACATTTTTTATTTCAATTTCGTAAACGAATTTTTTTTATTAGTTTACTTTTTGCAGAAACAAGCGAATAAATGTACGCATTTCAAAAGCAATCTTGTAGAACGTTTTCGAAATTGGAGGCGATTATTGCCAAATTTAAATTATTAATTATACTATCAAAAAGGAAATTCTTTCTACCACGGCTCTTTCAACTCTTTTACAAACATTGTTAACAATTTTTGTTTTTGAATTTGTTGTACATTCGAATAAATTTCATTATCAATAAGTGAAATACTTTTAAATAAATAAAATTTTGCAAAATAAAGTGTACCTTCATTGCAATAATATTCAAGCAAATTCAATATTGCCTAAATGTTGGTTACATGCAAATCGAAAATAATGCCACAAAGAGAATTATTGAAAATAATAATATCAAAGAGTGCTTCATTATATATGAAAATATCTTATAAACATGCATACAATTATGCACAATTCTCTCATGAAAAAATGTTTGTTTAATTGAAAAATATTTTCGGTAATTTAAACAAATGATTATTATTTATTTAAACAGCTAAATTTTTTAAATTATAATTTTGTGCGGTACAGAATAGCTTCTAAATGTAAATAATTTTCTAAATGTAAATAATCTTAAAGTGATATGGCGCTGTAATATTTTTGCTTTAAAAAGAAAAAAAAACAAATAAACAATAGGCAATTGTTTCATTTTGCCAGTAAAAAATTACCAAAATATTTGTAATGATGGAAAAAATGGGAAACTTCCACTGATTGAAAAATTTAATAACCATAGGATGAAATAATTGCATAATGATGTTACTGCACGCTATTGTCAAAGTTGCACAGCGTTTTGTTGTTAAAGGAATTAAACTTTTAGGAGAAATTGTATGGATTGTCGCATTGCTCGGTCTTTTCTTTTTTTCGCATTTCTTAATGCATTTCATTATTTACCTAATTAATGCGTTTGTAAAAATTCATAGTGATAGTTTAATTTTTTCTAATAAATTAATTCCAAATTTTTAACGTTTAATTTTTAATTCATTATGAATTTGAAAAAAAAAAAAAAAAACCGAATCTGCACAATTCTTATCCAGATGAAGCGGTTCGGTGTTCTAATATAGTGAATGCTTTGTATGGCATAGTATATTATATGAGATACTATATGTTGTTCAGTTTCTCTTTTTAAATTTGACAAGATTTGGCTACTAACAGTGCTTTTTACATACATACAAATGAAAATGATTTTGCTTGGAATGATTTGTCAGGGCTCTCCTTCATTCCTGCATTAATTTTTATCAATAATCGATTACCATCCTTTCAAACTTTAATTAAAATAGGAAAGCGGAAATAGATGAACTGATGATCCCCTTTTTTATTTTAATGAACTTTACATTATGTTTCGATTTTGCTTGGTATTTTATCACTTTCATTTTCTTTATAGAATTTCAAGCTATTACTTTTGTTCTTATAACACATAGTAGGAATAAACTCAAAAAATCCGTGATCATGATCAGTTACCTATGTAGTTTTTCTCATCGATTATTATAAATTTTCAGAAATCATAAGATGACGGAGTCACCTGTAATTGACTTTGACGTGTTATTTTACGATCATCTAATCAAGGAGGAACCAAAATTGGTAAACAAAGTATTCAGTGCACAGCGACGAGGTGAATTAGAAAAAAGACGGGTACATCGTTGCACATCTATAATTGGTGTTAAATTTCTTTAAAATTTCTTATTGTTCTCTGTTTCTGACTTTATTTTTTAACCAATGCAAATATGAGGATTTTTCAGCGGTTATCTGGTAATTTTAAGCCGCTGAAAGAGGTTGTAAAGGAGTACAATAAAATTGTTAGCCGAAAGCGTAGTGCGACTGGCAATATCAATGGTTCGCCGGTCCCTAAAAAGGCTTTAAGACAAGATGAGAGGGATGACTCAAGCGAGAGCTCAAGTAGCGATCATTCAATCAAGCAGGCAGCGGTAAGTTTTTCATCTATGAATTTTTTCTTTGGTTAAGTAATCTTCGAGGTTTAGTACATTAAGCGTCTTGCTGAATGATTGCTTAAATCAGTTTGGTGCGTTTGGTTAGTAGAAAAAGATGTTATCCGAACTGTTGGAAGTTTATTACTATTTGGACAACACATGGTGGTTATATTCGCCAACAGTCGCTATGATCATTTATGATGAGTTGCCCCGAAAAATTAAGACATTTATTGAGGAGATCAAGTTAATATGTTAAATTTTTAAGGTTTTAAAACTCTTGAACTTTTAAAACTAGATTTAGTTGAACTGCTTATAATGCTTATTTCTTATTTCTTTGATTTATTGACATGTCAGTTGATATTTTCAGACAAAATTAATCAATGGTGCAGGAATAAAGCGACCTCTTCCTCCATCGTCATCTTCAAGCTCTTATTCGGATATTCCTGTTAGTTCTTTGCTTTTGTTCCATGAAATATAAGAAAAAAATTTTATGATATAAATGAATGCATTCTTCGTTGATCTTCAAATTGATGGAATTAGGCGCATCAGAACTGGACGGTCCTGTGCCGTTGTAGTTTAAGCGGTGCCTTAAATTATACCGTTTCTCTAAATTGACCGCAATTAATCCTTCATGGTCATGCAAAATTTTTGATTAACGAACATAATTTAATTCAAAGTTCTTTAAAAAATTTCATTTACCGCCTTTCTTTCGAGTTTAAATGTGCCCGGTTCACTTAATAACATTCATTACAAATGAGGAGCAAAGTAAGTCTACCACAAGATTCTCAGCATTAAGAGCGGTTGTGGTGAAAAGATATGGATGGTTAGAGATCATTTTTGGAATCTGTATAAACTTTTGTTTTTAAATATTATTTAGAGAAGTGAGCAGACTTTTTTATTGAAGATGTGATTATTTTAAATCTCAGTCTTCTGAATTCATTCAATTGTAAAAAAAACTCATATAGTTTTTGGAAATGATTTTTAGAGACAATCCATTTTGAAAGCAACTGGAAAATCACAAACGAAATCATCTAGTTCCGGTAGTTTATTGGCCGCAGAGAAAAACGATGCAAAGTTTGCTGAAGTTCACCCGCCGCTTAATCTTGAGACAGGAGAGAAGTGGGCAAGAAAGGATAGCAAATCTAGTTCCTCAAGCACTTTAAATAAGGCTACGAAAAAGGAAATTAGAATTCCATCGACCACGGGGCAAGCTGTATCGAACAAGGATTCGTTAACAAATTCTAGCAGTGATGATAGTGATAGTAACGCTGAAGGGAAATTACAACCATGTATTCCCAAAAAACCAGTATCTGTCGTATCAAACGTTAATTTAAGGAAAAATGCAGTTACCCGAAGTTCGTCTGACAGCACTTCCAGTAGCGACGAGGATGCAAAGAATGGTTTGCGGTCATCAGTGCCGGGAAAAGTTTCCGGTAAAGTAGTTCCAACCACATCAAGTGCTAATTTAAAAAATGCTGCNCCTGCAAAAAAACCTGAAAGTTCATCTGACAGCACTTCCAGTAGCGACGAGGATGCAAAGAATGGTTTGCGGTCATCAGTGCCGGGAAAAGTTTCCGGTAAAGTAGTTCCAACCACATCAAGTGCTAATTTAAAAAATGCTGC